TGCAGGTTTGCCATGGTACAGTTCCCACTGCAGCCAGGTGGAGAGGCCCTGCATGTCTCCTGCAGAGCCAGACTGGAAAGCAGCTGTCGCTGCAGCATGCCTTCATACAGCCAACCCCACATGTTCCTCCTAGAAACAGAAGTGCACCAGGCAGGTGGGACTATCCTGTGCTCCTCTGTTTCTGGGAGGAACATGCAGCATGGGGACCAGGAAGGGCTGTGGCAAGGACATGCATTTCAGCCACAGCCCGTTGTGCTGCCTGGCCAGAGGGGTCAGGCAGGCTAGAACAGCTCTTCACACTACCTGGCTGGAGGAACCAAATGTATGGACATTCAGGGCAGCATAACCACCCTCCTCTCCCTCTCCAGAGGGCACAGGAGAGTTTTGCTGCCCAGGTCATGAAATTCCTTATTTATGCTCCTCCTCTTGCCTTCTTTAGGTTTAGCAGATATCCCTAACACAAGCAGGAGCATGAGGTAACACCCTGGTTGAGAAGCAGAGGAGAGCTGAGGCAGTGCAATAGCAGCTCTCATTCAGGGATGCTGACAAACTCAAAAATGTTGTGGAGGGGTGACCTGACTCTAAAAAAAAAAAAAAGTTGAGAACCACTGCCTTAAAAGTCTATTTTATGCTAGAGTCCAAAGGGATCATTTAGTCTGATCTCCTGTATATCACAGGCCATAGAATTTCATTCAGTTACCATTGCCGGGTCCAATCTCTTATTTTTCTAGAGCAAGTATCCACTTGTGAAAAGACATCAAAAGGTGGAGGCACAAACACCAACAATGCCTGCCCCTCAATGCTATTTGCCTCCTGACAACCTCCCCATCAAAACCACATCTACAGCCATATTTTTGTCAACTATGACTGGAATTGTTTCACAGCTCCCAGTAGCAGTCCCAGGCTTTGAGCCACCTTTGCATCCCAGAGAATTCTATGCAGCTATCAATATGAGCATAGCCAATGTCAATCAATGCAATCAAAAGATGCTCTAGTTCAGTGGGGGCCAGCCTTTTTGGCAGGCATATCACAAATAAGCCATATGTACTATTTGGAACAGCTCTTTATTACATACAGAACTTGTATACAGTCATTTACAGTAAGAAGTTCTGTTGCTGCCCTTGCAAGGGTCTTGTAGCCAAATGCCCCTGTTCCCTGACCCAGAAGTTCCTGCTGACCTCACCCAGTCTCATGGGATAACATTTCCTGGACATTGCGTGTGCAGGAAGAGAGCTATTACAAAATCAAACTAACATGTCTCAATTAGTCTCTTTGGCCATTTCAGCAATCTTTCAGCTCTACTGTATTGGAGCCCCTCTTCGTCTATATCCTTATCTGCCCAGAATTACTGTGCAGTCACATGCAGCTTCTGGAGCTCCTAACACCTAGACTATCTGCACATTAACACCTAAAATTAGTTTTAAGCACTCATCATACAGTTCAAAGTTGCCATTCCAGGAAAGGATTACCTCTGATGTGTTACCTAGCTCATGTTATGTTAAGTTGTAGCCACTCTAGGCTACACCTTGCCTTCCCTGCTCTCCCTCCCCAGTACCACATATCATGGGACCACCCAAATTGTGGGGCCCAGGGCAGTTGTCCCAGATTTGCTGCTCTTACCATGTCTTCAATGGCACTACTCACCCATGGCTAAAAGACAACATCATCTCTGGCTCTTTTTTGGTTTGTTCATTTCCAGATGTCCTTCAGATACTCACTCCAAAAATTTTCCCCTCTCATTACTGCAGGAATCACCAATCCATGTACCTTTCATTATAGTCTTTCACAGACGCTTTAGATTCTCTCACTTTTGAGTCCCTTGCACCTCTCTATTTCAGTTTCTGTGATTACATTTACTTGTGCATAGACAGCATAAGTGTCGTTTGTTTGTACTTTAATTAGCCAATTTTTTGAGCTTTTGGGCTCTTAAATCATGCTTACTATGCACAGCTTTTCCTCCTTACTAGAGTTCATTTCTGCACTTATTCTATACATGTTCTTACTTTTGCTGCACATTTTAGTGTAATGGTTCAGTTTATTACAGCTTGTACATTTTGCCCAAATGCTAGGACCTTCCTATACTCATGCTGGTTTTCACATCGCTGACACTGTGCATGCTCAGATTATATTTTTGTGGACTTTTCTTTTGATAGATCAGTGATGGAACTTCATTTTCTTCCATGTCTCTCTCTAGGCTTTTCCCTGGTGTTTCTGCTTGTTCTGCAGATTGACATATACATATTGCTTATTTTAATGTCAGGTCCTTTTCTCATAGTAATTGCACATGGTCTTTTTTATTACATCATTCCAGGATTATCTGGTCTTTAAATGACAAGGTGTACAAATCTTCTATATTCACAGGGCTGACTTTTAGTTTTACATCTGTGATAAATTCTTCCACTGTTTCTCCTTCCTTTTGTGTTCTCATCTTGGACATCTCTTACAAGTAATATTTTTTCTAGGAACATAATGATTGTCAAATATTTTAATTATTTCTGCAAGGCTTTCACTTAGACTCTGTAGCAGTCATTTCTGTTACCTCTTTTACTGGGTCTTCCAGCATGCTGGGCCTTCTGCTTCTGGGGACTTGTAATTTGGAACAACTCTTATTATATACAGAACTTGTATGCAGCTACTTACCAGTAAAAGATAATGGTTTTGTTACTGTTATTGCAAGGGTCTTGTAGCTGACTGTCCTTGTTCCTTAATCCGGACGTTCCTACTGAGAATTCTCACCCAGAGTCTCATGAGATAACATGAGGACTTACTCTGCATCACATGCTGCCCTCTGACTGAATACCACTCTGATCTCCTTTCCCTGTCAAATGTGCCTCTGTGCTCTCTGCTTCCTATTCTGTGCTCCCTGCCTGATCTGCCACCATGCTGCTTGTCCCCTCCCCAATCTGTTGCATGCCACACAGACCGTGGGGGCTGCCTGTGGCACCATGCTACAGATTAGCCACCTTAGTCTAGCTTAATGCAGTCTGGAGAAGGCTGCCTGTGATGTGTTCTGCTGTCTGCTATGGGAACTTGCCACCTGATCTGGCCCTGCTCCCAGCACGGCCCCACTGCGGCTATTCAGCACAGCAACTGCCCTGGGGAATTCTCCTTGGTATAATGTATGGCTTTTTCAGCCTCTGTAGATCAGCATCACGAGAGGTGGGGTAGTAGAGGGATATTTCCCTGCGTTTAATTTAAGCTTGCCTTCTGCCCCCTGCCACCCTTTTTATTCTCCCTTTTTTAGTAATTTCTTCCAAGACTTTCTCTCTGTGTTACTTTCTTAGATAAGAATCCTTTTTCAGAAGGGAACAGATACCAAGACATGTTTTATCTAGAACACTGCTGCTCTCTCCAAGCTATGTGCCATCACTAGGATAGGATATGGAACCTTGGTGTTGTGCTCTGCTTCAAAAACAGCATAGGGGAAAAGTAAAGAAAATTCCTTGCCTGATATTACAAAGCATAAGACACAGTAAAATAGTTACCAAGATTCCAGCTGAGTTAAATATGATAAGACAACTCCACTAACATCTCTTACTTCCACTGAAATCTCAGTAAAGCGGCTTTCTAATTGCAAATCCTCTTTTCTTATTAACAACTCAATTGAAAGATAGATTGTCAGCATCTTTGAATCTTCCAAATCACTTCCTAAAGCACTTTGGAATCTCCCATCTTAAAGCTGACCAAAATAGTAAGCCATCTTAGTCTGTGATGACTAAGCAGACAGTATAATTGCCAAACAACCTCTTTTACACAGTGTTCACAACATCACTATAGAGGGGAATTATTACCAACAATTTTGTTAAACTAGAGCCACTGAACAGAAAAGTTATTTCTTTTAAATAGCTTAGATGTATTACACATATACTTTCCTCCTTAAAATTACTTTTCAAGCTATAGTATTACACATTTCCACTTTTTTCCATGTAACCAAGCCAGTGCATTTCTTGGACATGGGGTTGTGCAGTTCCTACCACAACAGGATATCAATTTATGGGGCTGAAGACACTACTGAAAAGCATAATTTTCAGGACACAGACACAGCCCCTCTTTGTCCCCTTGTCTAGTTACAACTGCTAGAAGACGTTCCTATACAATTTCCACAGTGCTTTTTCCCTTTTCTTGACTGCTCTAGTTTCCCCCCCTCCTAGATTCAATTTTCAGCCTTAATAGCAAGACAAAGCAAAAATACTGGTCCACAAAATGACAAACAGCATAGGCCAGAAAGAATTGTGAACCAGGCATAAGGTGTTTCTCTGTTTATGCATTTCCAAAAATGTTTATGCCTACAAGGATTTAGCGTAAGCTCTTTTCTCAAGACCTTCACTCAGTCATGAAAACTAGTGCTGTGTCCACACACACGGAAGCAGATGTGTGTCAGGATAGTTCCTGCCACAGGGAGTAAATATGGATTAATGGGAAGGAGAGATTAGTGTTTCTATTCCCCTGTTTTATCCTGGGTCATTTCAGTGACATTGAGAACATATTTCTGCAGAGCAGGTAGGTCTCAAAAGGTTCATGCGACTACTACTGCACAGCTCAACCAGAAAGAGGAACAAGAGGTCCAGCTGTCACCCTTCTCATTTTTAAAGCAGGAGTATACACAGGCTCTGCCAGAATGAAGGCCCACAATATGCTGCCACCAAGCTACAAGCCTGTCAGTCATTCAATCTAAGGAAGATTTAATAGTAAACACTGAAAAGGAGAGAGAGAACTCCTGCAGGAATAAAAACAAGTCAAGCAATATGTTGATTACTAGAGAGTATGTTGCTATATCTCTGAGCTACTGATTAGCAGTTCTCGTTTAAAACACGAATAATGCAGATTTTGGTGTCTAAAACTGCCAAGGCTAATTCCAAAAGAAAAAAAAAAATCTATTTAGTGAAGTGAGAAAAACATTTATCTGAAGTGTTTTAGTTTATGTTCTCCTCCAAATATGAGCTCTGCAATGGATTTCAGACACAAAGCAAAATGTATGTTCTTCAAGGACTGCCACTTACGCCACATGTCTCATTCTGGATCTGCATGGGATTAGCCTTTGGCTCCATGTCTTGCCTTTTTTGGTTCTGTTTCAGTTGATTCAAAGAAGGTTTTGTCTGTGCAACTCCAACAGTCTTGCTTGTCCACTGATCCACCAGCTTGTGAAGATCATCTGTGAAGGTTCCTTTCTTGTTGTTACTGTTGTTAGCTTGCACCTGTACCTGCAGAGTTGACTGTGGTAGGGGCTCAGGACACGTTACAAGACTATTTGTAGAGGATCCTAGAAAACCACACACAAAAAAAAAGTGTCAACTGTGTCCTCACAAGTGCACCATTTTGCTGCTTGATAAGTGTTTATATTCTACAATTCAAATATTGGTCCTTTTTCCCTTTATCCTCAGTCCTTTCTAGAGAACATTTTTGCTTTAAGAAGTGGTCCAAATACAATTATATGATTATATGGTCCATTTACACTTATGTGATTGTGTCCTACCTATGCTCCAAGAGTTTGCTATCATAAGCTTATGGAGCTTTCCTCTGCATGAACTCACTTACTAGAAGAGAGAGAAGGGATCACCCACTGAGTGCAACGCTGATGAAATACAGCTTAAAAAAAATATTTTTTAGATAAATCACCAGAACTGCAGCTTTTCATTTTTTGAGAGCGATACCTTCATTAGATCACATTAGATGCACTTCTGTATAGTCTGATTTCAAATGACAACAAAAAATAAGCTCAGAAAACATAATGCAGGTTTCAAGTGCTTAAAGATACTGCTCAGTTAGTAACGCTTCCAAGGCTACAGAAACTTAAAGAGTCTTTTGTCTGAGACTACTGAGGGTTCTTACTCTGGCAGCTTTCATTTTAAAAATATGCATCTCAGCAGAGCAAATACATAGGAAAAGGACAGCAAGCAGAGGACACAACTGAGCTGTCAGTCTAATATACAGATGTGCATAGAGCATCAGCGCATGTGTTATCAATGAAATGGAGAATTTGATTATATACATAAAATATATATAACATAGAAAAAAACATATGTATGCATGTGCTGAAGTTTTACTTCCTAGCAATTTATTATATCAAATTTAGCACTGAACAGCAAACAAAGTTCAGAGTTCAGTATCATTGGAAAACATTAAGAAAGTGTAATTGTTTAAAGATGCATTAAAAAACCCCAAATATATTAATTAAGCAAGGACCATCTCTTCAAACAAAAAGTTCAGAGAATTGGAGTGAAATAATTATCTTCACAAACGCCAACAGGAAGTCTTTTTTTTCCCCACTAACATGAATTTTCCAGCCAACAAAGTGCATTGTGAGTAAACCTACTAATATTCCTTTAGTCATATAAAATACCTACATCACTTTTAAATGATCATGCATTCAACCTGCAGTATGGCGTATATATAATTCCTGCCCACATTCTTTTAGGAAAGGGACCCGTGATAAAAATACATATTTTGATGATAAAGCTTTTTAATAATGTTCTACTCATGCATCCCAAAAGGAATGAGACCGTTTGTAAGCTATAAATTCAGCCAGCAGCAAAATAGCAGTTTTAGACTAGACACAAACACTTATCTGGTTCTCGTTCAGCACAAATACAGAAAATCACAATTCTCTTGAAGCATGCATCCTTTCCAAAGCATTACAGGACAGGACATGCACTGTTATGAAAAAGACACCAGCTTACAAGTCATACATGGCCTAATTTGATGTTAGCAGAAGTGCAACAGCTGCTATTTAGTCAACTAGATTTTAGTCAAAAGTTCAAAAAAAAGAAAAGAAAAAGAAAAGAAAACCATTTAATTTCATGCTAAATACTGAGAAACAAAAATGGGATAGTTACTACTACTGTGATCTTTGCCTAGACATAGTCGTTTCAGAGTGGACCCTACAAGGTAAAACGATACAAGACACACAGAGTTAGGCAAAACTAAACACAACTGGTTGGATGGATAAGCTTCTGTACTTTTAAGCAATCAAAAAGTAGTCATTATGCAAAGAGGAGCAGACAGAAAGTCAGCAGTTCAGGTGAGAAAAGGGAGTCTAAATAACTGGGCAGCCCAAACCTATATTAATGTGCAGCCATACAAAAGCTTTAAAGAGTATAATAGTGTGCCAAGAACAAGATTCAGTAACTTGAAGATGCATTTTTAAATGACCTTGGCTTCCAAATAGGGAGCCTTGATTCCTACTCTATTTGTGCAGGAAATGATGTTAATTCAGTTTGCGATAGGGTGCCAAAAATGCTTTCAGGAACAGGCAAAGTTAGTCTGGCTGCAAAGACAAACTGTAAAACAACCCCAAAAGTCTTGTTTTACAAGTCCAAAAAGATACATTGTTCTGCAGGTCTGAGGCCAATTTTAAAGTCAGTTTCATAATAGGATTTGCGTCTGAACATGGAATTCTCAACTAAAAACATCATGAACTAGGTTCCCTTTCATATCTTTTTAAAGTATACAGTAGCAGATTTCATTTAATTTTATGTATTTTTCAGTGTTGCTTTGTTACAGTCTACGTTTTATGTATTCAGCTGACTATATAGAATTATAATACTAAACGTGTACAGATAGCCCTACAGGAGTGTCAGTTATTGCCAGACATGAGCATCATTTCCTATGTCAATGTCAAATTTCCTGAAAGATATTTTGGACTTTGTTAAGAAGAATAATCTCATTATGATATGCAAGGAGATGAACAGCTGGTGTGGGGTATGTAAAAGTCTATTATACACAAGTACAAATGAGCAAATTAGAGGGCAGGGCAGAAACCCAGATACATAGTATGTGTGCTTTTCCTGCCTACTAGCATGGTATCAACACAGAGCTATTGCAAAAGAGGTCCAGGTTTAAGCTAAATTCCAAGTTAACTCTGAATCAGTCTTTGAAGCAGATACAAAAGAGAATTCAAAGTTTGAGAAAGAGGAGAAGAGAGAAAGAAAAATGTTTGTGCTTTGATATGGGTGACATGAAGAAGAGAGAGGGAATTTTTTAAAATAGATCATTTTCATTTTCTCTATGCACAGCTGAGTAATGCTGTTTAATTAGTGAGCGAGGTACTGTCAAAGTTGAGTTGTATGCAAGCAAAGCTGGTATTTCAGTACTCAACTCTTAAAGCTTAAAAAGGCAGATATAGGTCACATATGCACATCACTGAAATAGAAGTTGGGTTATTTTTTTTAAATCCCCTTTTTTGCTTTTGCTCTCAAAGAATTCAGACATGTTTTACCTCATGCATCCCACCCCACAGTGAGCTAGAAGTTCGCCTCACGTAGCTGCCCCAGTGATATCAAAATTAGACTGTCATTTTGTTAAATGTCTGGCAGCACTCTGTGTAAAGCAAATGGAAGTATTTTAATCCATTTGCACTTCTGCCTTGAAAAAAAGCCAGAAATGAACTGCTACATGTGCTCAGATGCTGCAAATAATGATGATAATAACAACAATAGCCCAAAGATGTAAACTTATGTACAACTTGTGGGTCAGGTCAGCTCTAGAGCCCCTGATACTATCAGAAATTCCCATGCGAGACAGCTCAGGAAATTCAGTGCCATTACTCCCATGTGCCGAGTTACTCACCTGCCTAAGAGTCTAAAAGACAAGGTCCTACTTAAACAAGACTATTAAAAGACTAAACCATCAAATTTAGGTCCTAGGTTCCTGTCCCCCACGACACCTTCTCCCAAACACATCACTTGGAAGACACTGGACTGTAATACCCAAGGAGAACATTAATGGTCAGTCTCTCTAAGAAAAAAAAAAAAAAAAAAAAAAAAAGCTTTCAAGTAATCTCTATAGCTGGTGAAATCAAATTCAGTTGACCTCACATGAAATGCCCTATTTTATTTTGGTTTCTAAATTGAGACCCTTTACGTCTTGATTTCGAAACTGCTCAGTTACTGGAACTGCTGTTGGTCTCAACTGATATTAGGGATTCCCAACATTTCTGAAAATCCAGCCCCAGTTTTCTAAAAATGGAATCCTAGCTTAAGGTAGCTTTGTTTTAGAATGAATGGTAGAGATTCACAACCAAGAGTTGCATAAAGCTGTTTCCACTCAACGGGCCAAGTTCTAATCTCATATGTACAACATTTACTCCAAGTATCTCAATACCAGCCACACCGTACAAACATGCAGCCGAAGTGCATATCTATAGTACATGTAGGATCTGGCCCAAACCTTCATAATCCAGTTGTCCACTAGACCAACCCTCTAAACTTAAAGGCCTGACTATATTTTTAGACCAAGAATAAAATGTTTCCTTGAGAATGAGTCCTCCAAATCCAGGCTGGAACCTGCAGAATCCTCAGGTCCTTAAAATGGTCACAGAATAGAGACAAGCTGGTGCTCCTTGTTTCCATTAGATGAAGCCACTAGACACATCCGCGATAGAGCACACAGCAATCCCAGGTCCTGGTGGCCTTGGGGACAGTTGAGGGATTAGACACAAGTTGATCTCCCACATTACAATATGATTGTCTGATACTGACCTGCCAGAGTCACCAGAAAGAGTAGTTAAAGGGGAAAAAAACCCTAACAAGCTATTAAAAAGCAGCATAATGTTTCGACAGCTCAACTTTTAAAAATAAATCATCATTTTCACAGCTGGAGTGATTTTGGATGGACAAGTTTGTGCTAAGCCTACCCAAATCCTAGTAGGACTCAGAGATGGAGGTATGCAAACCCCCGTCTCAAAACTTTCCCCCAAAAGAAACAAAGAAGAAAGTCCATTGACTGAGACATAGATCACCCAAGCAATGAATTGTGCCAAGTTATTTAGGCATTTGGAAGCTTCAAATAGTTAAGTTATTGCATCTTCTATCAATTTCAGCCATTACTGCCATTGATCCAAACCATTTTTTTTATTTTGTGTTAAAGAAGACATTCTCCGCATTATGTCAGCCAAATGAATAGCAAATTTGTGATAAATTAATTATTTGCACAGATAAGGGCACAGCCATTAACCACCTCTGGTTTTTAATAGAAGTCTGTGCATGCAGGTTGTCTTGAAACCTTGTAACAATAATTGGCTTGATGTGCGGAGAGGTAAATGCCACTTCTCACCTATGTAGATGATGGGAGTTTTGAGGATCTTAAAAAAATATTCTGTTTCTTTTTAAATTACTATTTAGATACAGAACTGGAAGAATGTATTAGAGTGGTCTTGTGCCTTTGATCTGTACCACTTGGATAAGGATGAGTAATGTGTAATCCCAATGGGGAAGTCAGATATCAATGCAAATGGACATATAGGTAACTGAATATTTCCTCAACAACATTAGGCTTCTTAACGTAATATGTAAGTGGCCTATAGTACCTGATCAGTACAACATATCTTATTGTACAAGCAAAATCCGTTTGCCTAAAAAAGCAGCATATCTATTTAGAGAAAAAATGTTTAAATTTTAAAATTTAAAATATGAGGTTTGATTGAACTGCCAATTAGTGCAGCGATTGTACAGATAAAATACAAGTGTTTTATTCGAGCAGGTGCACAGTTATTTGAAATAACTTATTGGATCCTGACAATCCATTTCAAAGTATGATAAGAAAATCTGATAAAGCTTTTTTCTTTTTTTTAAAACTTATTTATGCTTTGATGAACTGCTAATTGACTTCATCTCTGAGGTCACATGAGGTCATAAGAAAATAAACTGAGTAAAAGTGCTTCAGCCAGGGTAATTTATATGAAAAGGTAAATGGCACTCTTCTTTGGAGTAGCCAGATATTCACACCACAACTGAGCATGTCAAAACGAGCCTACTTTACACTAATTCACTCTAATTACCATGAAAAAAAAAAAAAAACAAAACACTTCGAAAGCAGACTTTAAGAGACCTAGCTGAAGCACAGTCATCTCAGCAATTTCCACATGCAAGGGGCAGGAAAAAACAAAAACAAAAATAAAGAGAGTGGATATAAACAGTACTGTATATTGTTTTAATACAGCCCTTGTATGGAAGTTATACCCTTCAGTGACCTTCTAGTATTGTATCAGCTTGCTACATGCATGTCTTCATAGTCCAAACATGTGTGAAAGAGACCATTCATCTACAGAAGGTTGGATTTCTTTTTGTTGTCGCTGGAACTGGGACAGCAGACATGTATATTTGCCACATTGCAAATAAAAAAAAAAGTTACTTCAACATAAATCACAAAGTACAAAAGCTTGATAAAGTCCAGGGTAAAATTTATCATAAGGCTATATAATAAATGATGAGATCTTCCACACATGCTTTTGGTACCCAGGCATGAGCCAAAAGCAGTGCAAAAAAGCTTCCATATGGAAAATGAAAATAAATTAGGAGTGTCAATGATGATTATTTAAAGGAAAGAAAGAAAAAGAAAGAAAAGATGGACCAGAAGGAAAGGCATCCTGCCAAACATAATAGAGATATAAAAGATGAGACTGGGAAAAGGGGGACAAAAGAAAGATGAACTGTGATAAAATACAAAAGAACAAATACAAACAGATGGACAAAGACACAGGTCCACTGAGGAATCTGGTACGAGGTTTGCTACTAGATTTATAGGTCACTCTCTCAGACGTTTGGTGGAAAACCGTCCAGCCTGCAAATGAATATAAAGGGAAGAAAACAAAGACACTTATAAAGTACAAGTAGCTGTGATCAGATGTCCTATACCATCAGTCAAATCAACTTTGTTAGCTAATCATCCACATCTCCACTTTAGACTTGCCAAGGAGGATAAGTGAATTGACCATACGGGACAAAAGAATGCAGTAACAGCAAAAGAGAACAGATATTCTGTAGATTAGTTTGGCAGGAGGTGCAAGGATGAACAAGGTATTTTAACCATCGTTGTAACTTTCAGCATATATGGAATAAAGATCAGTTAAAGTCTAGGGAGCCATGCACTACCACAGAGCTATCAACATTCAGGATGGATGACAGCCTTTACTACTCTATATTTTAGTCATGATTCCAAAATCATGCAAAAACCTAACCCCCTAAAGCTGGAAATACAACATCTTGCTCAGTTAAAGTGCAAGAGAAAAACAGAACAATTATGGGGAATTTTGCATCTATCATTATCAAGGGAGCAAGAGAAAGAAATATGAAGTAAGGAACAAGTTTGCCATTTTGTCCCACTATGTAATTTTTATCCAATGGCAATACGACAAATTTCACAGGAGGTTAAACCAGCGGAAGCCATTGTTTAGGACAAAAGGTGTTGCTGGAATTTAGTCAACCATATAGTTCATCTACAAGGCTTATTCATTTCATATTCTGGAAGTAGTTCTTTTTATTTTTGTTCCTCTATAGACTTACTTTTCTATCTTCCTTTTTAATGGTGAGCTAGTAACTTGGGTTTAAGGCCCAATTCTTCCATTGCTAGTAGTAGAGCCCCTCCTAAATGTTTAAGCCTGAAGTCTATGTGCTAGTATGGGCATGTGCTGGAAGACATGCTGAATGGTAGGTATGAAAAATCACCTTGGCCAGAATTTCCATGGGTGCCACCTCCTTCAGAGGCTAGGCCGGAGCAGATTTCAGAAGACAGTGAGGCTTTAACGGAGCATGGCTGTTGTGTCTGAACCGATTTCCCAAATGTTGCTGATGCAGAAGAAGTTACTGTTGCTGTAGGAGATCCAGAATGAGTTTTTGTTGTTTCTTTGGGGAGAGACTCATTGCACTCTGACAAATTACCTAGAAAAAAAATCCCAAAACACCTCAGAATTGCAAAACCACCATAAGGAAGCCACTGCAGAGAAATCAATGTAGGCTTAATTACTAATTAACCACTGAAAGGAGTAGAGACCTAAAGTGCTAAAGCACTGTATGAACTTAGCATTTATAAGGGTAAGGCAAGGATTTCTTAGGAGGGTATCTTTTATTGGATCAACTATGTAGTTGGGATAAAGTCAGACAAGTTTTTGACTGCAAGACATTCTTTGTACCAAGTATATAGTTGGTCCAATAAAAAATATATCACCCTAAGAAATCTTTGCCTCTTGCATTTCTGAACCATCACCACATTGCACTTGCACTAATAAAAGGGGAAAAAAAACTCTGCATCTAAAAATATTTTACCTACACCATCAACTTCTTATTTGTAGGATGAAAAATCAGTTCATAACATTTCATTAAATTTTCCTAACTTTACCAAACCAGAGAGACCCAAGTATAAATTCAAGAGCAGCAATATTAAAAAGATTTGTACAAGTGCCTAAATAAGAGCGCAAGTTGGAGCAGCGTAAGTGAGGCTAAGCACTTCTAGAATGTGAAATGGACTGGCAATATGAGTGAGAAGCAAAGGGAGAGAAAAAAAGGTGGTCACAAAACTAGGTTTGAAAGAGGGAGTGAAATCAGGTGGAGAATTTTTAAAAGAAATTTTGAAATTCTATTAGAATATGGAATGGAAGCTAGCAAAGATGACCAAGGATGGGAATGATATAATCAGAGTACATCAGCAGTAATATTAGAGACAGCCTAAAGGATATAGCAAGGCTAAGGAGGAGGAATTTTAGTAGCCAAAAGGAAAAGTGATTAGGGGTGAATGGGCTTGTTACAAAGAACTGCCCTTGAAAGCCACCTGGAGGCTGCAGCTGGTATAAACATTAGGGCTGTGGGAAGCTTCGGTACTGGCTTGATTCGGAGATTTAGCCTTATTTGGCGGCTGAATCTCCGAATCGAATCAGGAGACCCATTAATCTCTCCAAATCGAATCAGAAGCCTCCGAACCAATTTGGAGAGATTTGACGATTTGGCCATAGACGCAGCTTATGTTTTTTCTACGTACCTCAAAGTACCAGGGACAGCAAAGTACCGGGGGCAGGAGCGCCGACATGGGACAGATGGAGCGTCCCACAGGAGCACAGGGGGTCCCCTGCATGCTCGGCGTTGGACCCGGAAGTGGACCAGAAGTATTTCCAGTCCGCTTCCAGGTCCACCACCGAGCAGCCCCCCAGTTTGGCGACTGGTGCCTTTTTTTGGGTCTGGGGGGGGCACCCAGGGTCCCTCCACGGCTGCTCGCCAAGCTGGGGGACCAGTTGGTGGTGGGGGGGTGGTGCCTGTGCGCTTGGTGGTGGATCCGGAAGTGGACCGGATGTACTTCTGGTCCACTCCGGGTCTACCGCTGAGCGTGTGGGGGACCCCCCCCCCACAAACTCCTGTGGGATGCTCCATCTGCCCCAGCATCTCAGCATTCATGAGCTGTGCCTGGTACCTCAAGGTACGTAGTAAAAAACCTTATAAAGCTACATCTATGGCTGAATTGCTGATTCTCTGAATCAGCTTTGGTCGAATCTAAATCGGGACAATGATCCAAATCAGTGTATCAAGTCACTGTCCCCTAATCAGGCCGAATCCAAATCAAATACTGCCCACTTCGCACACCCCTAACAAACATGGGGAACCATCTTGTAGTGGGAGTAGGTCACCCTGAGCACTACTTCAGTCCTCCAATGCCTGGAATGGCTCCTAGTAGCCTTCCAGGTGCAATTAAAGGTGCTGATTTTGACCTGTAAAGCCCTAAATAAGGAATCGGCTTCTTTACAACCCATGATGATCTCTATGGTCAGCCTACAAGTACCATCACTATATGTCAAGTCCAGTTGGCAAAAGTGTATGGGAGGTAGTTCTTGGTAGTTGCTCCTCAGTCCTGGAACTCCCACTTGAGGCCTGCCAGAGCCTAAGCCTGGACATCTCAAAGTACTGCAAGACTATCTTGGGAGGCATGTGGCTAACAAAGCTAGCTCAAGATGTTGTTCAGTGGGCCTTTGTATTATTTTGATCTTTTAGTTGCCCTTTTAAGTCAAGTTGTTCTGTTCTCTTACTGTAAACCAGACTGAGCATTTGTTGGGAAGGACAGCATATTAACTGCATAAATAAAAAAAGAGTAAGGCACTATGTAAGAAAAAGTACACAGTGAAGAAGCACCTCACTCCACCAGGGCTTCAGCTGTAAAAACGCAGAATTCAAGTCAGAATTCTAAGACAGGAGAATGAAGAAACACATTATTTTGAACACTTTGTATTGAAGTGGTCATTCACACTCTCTCAGAAACTGAGGAACCATCTCATTAAGGTTCTATATAGTGTGCTTGACTCTAATCTAGAGATGCTCAACCTCTAACCCATAGCACTGGGTAATCCAGTCTGAGGGGCTCCCCAAGAGCCAAGCATGCAGGGCAGGGAAGGTGTGGTACTGGCACCAAATCTGGCTTGCAGACAGACAGGCCCCATGCCACTTACCTGGCCCACAGGGCTGAGAGGTTGAGCACCACTGCTCTTACCCATTTACGTAAACCCATGGTGTCCAACCTTTTGCCCTATGGGCAAGATGAATTATTCAGAGTGAGTCAGTCCACAGGGCAGATACATTCCATGGACTGGACCTCGCACGTGCTGGATTGCAGCCTGCCACCCCAGCCCTGTGCATACTAAAATGGGCTCTGCCACCCTAGCCCCAGCCTTTTGCATGCTAGATTGGGCCCAATGCCCTATCCTCAGGCCTGCATGTTCCAGATCAGACCCTGCTGCTCTGCCCCATGCTGCTCCAGCCCCACAGATGCCAGACTGGGCTTGCTGCTCCAGACTTGCACATGCCAATGGGATCCTGTGTGCAGGGCCATGTCATCTGGCCTGCAGGGTTTAGACATTTAGTGGTGGGTAAGTGGTAGTTGTATTAATCGCCCCAACCCCAATATATTTTTGGACCCTGGGGGAACCGCACAGGCCAGATCACAGGACTCTCAGACAGATATTTAGAAAGTTGAGGGTTGGGGGCTTAAGGTTGAGAACCCTGACATAAACCATGACAAGTAGAGGAATCAGTGACCACAGACAAAGATGTGGGTGTTGTCAACCCAGACAAGAAGAGAAATCCCAGTGCCAATCACAAGACAGCTCATATACTGAAAAATCTGAGTGTTAAAAGACAAGTCATACAGAGGAGATAAGAGGTGAAACATCCACCAGATAGCAAAGGCATGGCTAGAAAGATACAGTTTAAAACAGAAGAGATGCTGTCTTGCTTTATATTAAGGTAATTGCTGAAATGTATAAACTATGCGTAAAAAGTTGTTACTGTTTTGATGTCAGTCTCAACTCCCCCTTACTGTTTTATTGTTGCTGCAGCTTAAGAAAACTGGTATAAACCAAAGTGGATTGTGGAATGTCAATTTTATTTTCATTTTATTTTTACCATTTTAATTTACATCTTTAAAAAAGGGTCTATAATTAAAACCAATACAAGGAAATTTAAGTAGCTATAATAGTGCTCTACGTGGAAAGAAATTTTGTTGGATTTGAAATATAGGGCCAATAGAAAAGCTAATCTGTCAGCACAACACACATTAAATAATACTTGCTTGACTTAGTTAAGTCTTGCAGCAGGAAAGTCAGGCATTGGGGGGGGGGGTAACTGTCCCTAGAAAATTACTATTTCATGACTTTTCCAACCAAATAATGCCAAATACTGTCCATGACTGGTCAGACAATCCTAACTGTACGTTTGACAACACTAGCAAATATCAGAATCTCAACTTCAATCAAAAGTTCAAGATACCAATCACAACCTTACATTTTTCTTTTCATGGGAGGGGAGAAAGGTGCAAATCAAAACCCATCATACAGAGCATCTTTTTAAAAAAGCTGTTATATCCTGCTGTATAACCCCAAAAGCCAACAGCATGGTGAGAGTGAATACCACTATTAACAAGTGACATGTTGGAGAGGGATGGAAAAAGTTAAAGACATTTCAATTTTCTCTCTCACAAACTGAATTGTGATGTTATTTTACTTCTACACAATATTAATGGCTTTAGAGGAAGAAATTGTGCAGTCCAAGCTGTCTGTATGAGAAATAAAAACCTTTCTAAATCTCAGTCAATTTAGGTTATATTCTGAAGCATGAGGACTTACTTCTCCAAAACTCTGGCTCGCTTGTTTTTAATCCTCATTATTTTAGTATTACTTATTCATATTATCTATATAAATGTCCAGTCCTTTTTAGAATCCTGCTGAGGGAGATTATATCCGAGTAACCACACAGAGCAAGTTTGTTTTCCTCTTGTCTCATTATTCCTGACTAAATATTACCTTTCAAGTAACCAAGCACTGTAGTTGACCCAGGGAAGGTGTGGGATTACTAATGGAAAGCTTAAGAAAGTGGTCTACAATGTGAGAATGTGTCTCATTGTAATAAAGCCATATAATCCTTTATTGCTTTCAGCCTGCATTCAGCATAATTACATGGCGAGCTAGCAACAGAAAGCAAAGGGAAAATAAAATGCACTGCTTCTATTTAAGTAGCTGTACCTACTTGTATTTGAGGGTTCACTTTTGAGATGCTGAACCAGAGGGTTTAAGAGTTTTCCTCCTTTTAATTTATTTTTGTTGGTTCTTCGGCGGCGGCCACTTGGTGGGGCCGAGTGAAGAAACCCCACATTGGGTGGCAAGGGTTTTCCCAGTCGAGCATAGAGAGCCTCTATCTCATTTTTCTGCTGAGTCTGCAGTTCAGCTATTTCTTTCATGTGCCTGGTTTAAAGAAAAAAAGAATATTGTGCAAGCAGTGTGTTTGAGAAAAGTAAAGAGAAGATCCCATGAGTTATACAACAAGCTCACTCATACAAAAGGCTGTACGTTTTATAAAAATCTAGGGGTTTTAAAGTGTGAACACAATAATGCTTTATGCACATACATAAAGTATCACTGCTCTACCCCGTTATTTTACTTTAGAAGTCTAAGGTTATGCAGACAGATTTTCAGAATACAAAATTGACATAATTGGTTTGCAGATGACTCTGGAATTAACACATTAAATGGTATCCAGGATACATTACACCATTCTCTTTGAATGGGACCAGCTTACTAAACTAACCAGGTCACTCTGTATAACTGTCCTACCCTCATTGTTATTCCCTAGGATCCGAAGGGAACACAACTGGTTTAAATTCAAGAGCTGTAACCAAACTCAAACATTTTCAGAATTTCTGGCCCTCCAACGAAGTGACAAAAAAAGGTGCAACTGCTTCTCTAGATAATATGTACTGGGAGACATTCCACAGGAAGGAAAGGAAAAGCAAACGTTTAACACAAGGTGACCCTAGAACCTGAGCTGTCACTTAAAAAAAAATCCTGGAAAATTTACATCTTCAATATACTTCAACAGAAATATTATATAGAAAAGTGAATATGCAGCAAATTCATGTCTATAAAACCCCTTATATTTAAATTAAGTTCACAGCAAGATTGGGAGCTAGTTGTTCACGGATTTCAGGCTCATCACTTCAAATTTAGCCCGTAACTGGTTTAGACTACATGGAGATTCTAAATATACCCAAGAGCCCAGCATTGTTTTCTAGTCCAACATACTTCTCTCTCAGATTCTGCAATTCTTTCTTCATATCTGCATCTTCAAATTCCGAGTCATTGTCGCTGCTCATATATGATGACTGTGAATGGAAAGTTGTTATATTGATAGTGGGAATTTTTGCTCCCTGACCATTAGGGGATTCCAGGCCTTGTGAAATGGTCTTTCCAGATCTTTGCAGAAAAGCAGTTGCTTTTTTTATTAAGTCACTGGCTGCAGTAGTACTCTGCACGGAGGGCTGAGCAGCAAGAGATTGGTGTTGGAGAGACTCATCACCAGAATCGCTGGAACCATGGTCATAAAAGACATCAACAGAAGAGGCTGTCTGCACTCTTCGTACTGAAGTCTTCAGATCAGGGCTGGAGGGAAGCTCATCCAAATAAACATCTGGTGGTGCAGAGAACCTCAAGCAGTGTGGTGATGTTAAAGTTAATTCATCCTGTGTGCTGATCACAGAAAACCTGCCAATAGTTTTGGCTGGTGTACTATTCTCAGGCACTTCAGTCTGCTTTCCACAAGAACCAGAGTCACTTATCTCCCCATCTACTCTAGGTGCCTGTATTAAATTCTCTGTGGCTGCAGATGGAGTTATGGTCTTTGCCTTCTCATTTGTTTTAGAAGTTTCCATCTGTTTAGCAATATTTGATGATGCAGATGCAGCCTGGGAAAAATGAGAGAGATTAATTTTGAGAATAAGTGTAACAAGCACAAATAACACTTCTTATAGTTTCATATTACCTGAGGAAGACCTTTTGTTGTTGTAGCAGCAGGAGTTGAAGTAACGCTGGCAGCAGAACCTGTTTCATTAATGGGGGGAGAGGGGGAACCAAAACAAGAAAATAAATATACATCTGGAAGGTTTTTTGTAATAAAAGTGAAGGTTATATTAGCTCCAAAAGTTTGCACTGGTTCAATATTAAATGCGTATAAATATAGAATCTAGGAACTCAGGATGTCAAGGTTTACTTCAACAAGCCACAATGGAGGCAATATAAAATACTGATGATTATAAACAAACTTAGTCTACTGATTTGGGCAGTTCAGACAATGAGAAGTTTGTGGGATTTAATTATTACACTCAAAAAGTTTTCTGGAAGAAGAAAAAAGAAAGTCTGAGTATTCCATGCTGAGCTCATGCTGTTAAGGTACTCTTGAGAGCTGGGCAAATAGCTGTCCAAACACTTCAATGAAACAGTATCCATAAAACAAGGTGGCTTTGACCACAAATGGACAATCTTAGTTCACATCTTTTATCTGACAGGTGTCTATGGCAATAGATTCTAAAAAGGTCCTGGATCAAGGTTAAAAACACTATCCTGATGAAAGTGTTAACTGTAAAAACACATGTGATAGTAATGGGGGCAACATTTCTTTGGTCATACACAAACGATTAAAATGCAGCTTCTAGGGTATCATATTTCTTAAGCTAAACCAAAGAATATCAATGGTTTATTAATCTATTTTCTTACTATGCATGATTCACAGTGAACATGAGGTGAGAATTACACTAGCCTCAGACTGATACAACTACATTAGTTTAAGTGAACATCTGATGATTTGCACCATCCTAAAAAGTTCTCCTTAATACATTTCAGAGAGAATATACATCTTCCTGGAAGTAACTGGGGTTTTGAGCTGTAGTCCAGGCAGATCCTGCAGCAGATACGTATGCACAAACATTACAGCTTTTCTGTTTTTGAATAATCCTGTGCCACTTAATGGTCCTGTATTAGGGTATAAAGGACAGGGAAGCTGCCACCCTTACTCAGTGGCTTCACAGTTCAGATTATATGCTGCAGAGGGCTATGAAGGTAGGGACAGAGCGCAGGTTGTGGGATCCACATAAACTACAACACCACAGAGAACCACAGCTACTATAAAAGTCACTTCTCTCTCTCCTTTACGTATGTGTCAGAGTGGATTCTATAGTAGGTAATTAGGAAGTTGTGTCCACCATGGGAATCAAGACATATCAGTCAAATAGTGATTGAGGTTATCCTCCAGATCTGGCATCTGACTTCAGTATGATGTCAGATGGCTGTTACATGGTTCAGCCATGCAAACATAACTCAAGAAGTGTTACAATCCAATGATCCATGTAGACAAGCATCCTGTCTCTGATAAAACAAACAGTAGATGCTTTAGAAGGAGAATAATCCACCCTGTCATACCCTTCCTGGCATCAGCTACCATTGGTTTAGGAATGTCAGTGGCTACATCTCTGACTATTCTATTTAATAGCTATCCAACTGTTTTTTTGAACACTTAAGCCATACAGACTGTGGAAGCTGAAAAGTTCCTGAAGTAGACTGAAGACTCCAATAAAGTGCACCTTGATGTTCAGAGAGAGGCTCACCTGACATCAGGAAAAAAGTGGAAATGCATTGTGTGAGACACTTAATCCATTCTCTGTGATGAGACAGCTTGGTCTTCCAAAGGCCAAGCTTTCAATAGCTATAAAAGGTGTGTGGAGGCAGCCAAATAGGGGCTGGTCCTGCTAGGGTATAGCAAAACTCTGTTAAAGTATGCGGTACTGAGCTGCTTTGAGAAAACAACTAACAAAAGAACTGTTCTGGGTAAGCTCATGCTCCAGTCCTCACACTACTTTGTACCTTGATAAAGATGCTTAAAGAAGTTCAGATATGAAGACCTAGGGTGCATACACACATACTAAGTTTCTGATAGTTAAGTTGACTTAACTTTAACTCGACTTAAATGTCAGAGCATACACATACATGTAGAGCAGAGTTGACTTAAATGTGGTACAAGATGATACACTTCTAAGGTGTATTATCTTGAGTTGCATTAGGTGTCAACTCTAAGTCAACTTAAAGTACATGTGTATGCTAAGTTGACTTAACTTGTTCCAGCACTCCCATGCCCCATGAGCCTCTGGGGCAATCACTTCCTTTTTTCACTACCTGCACTGTCTGGAGCCACATGCCTGTGGTGTGCTCAGGCTCCTAAAGGCACACACAGGCCAGCTGCTTCCAGTCCTAGGTAAATCAGTCCCTGTCTTGAGTAAGTGACAGCAAGTGGTGAGGGGTGAAAGGGAGGAACTCGAGGCTTCTGGAGCTTTTGGAGCTGGCCCCCTGTGGACACCTGCTGCCTGGCCAGGGGTGGCCCTGTGAGGCCCATCTGCTACTGATTTCCTGCTCCTTTCCAACAGGTCCACCATGTTGGGATGGCCTCACAGGGCTCCGGTGCTATCGCCTGCTCCGATACCCCAGCTTCCTGTAGAGATCCTTCCAGTCCAACCCACCAGTGCCTGAACTGGGAGAGCAAGGAGGTGTTCCACTGTGAAAAGTCAGTTTTCCTGGACGACAGCTTCTTGCTTGCATACATCTCCTGTATATCAGACAGGTTGGGAGACTGTCCAAGCAACCTCTTGCATTTTTCTGACAGTCAAAATTTTCTCAGTGAGAATCTGTCAAGATGGTCACTGCTTTATACCATCTCATCTTGGGACTTAGCTTGGGAAGCAAAGAAAATGTTCTCAAGGCTGCCTTTTTACAACTGGAGGAGAAATACAAAGGGAGTAAGTGTCTGGATATTTTGTGTCCTCCTTGGTAAACAAGTCTAATATAGGCATGCCATCCCCCACTTTTATGGAACACTGGCTTTAGGACCAACATCTGCAGCATGTACAGCTGGTTATCACATCTGCTAGGCAACCGACCTGTAACAGGTTCAGTTCAATGAGCTTATCCCAGGGTGATGGCACCAAATCCATATCCTGATGACTTCCTGGTAGGGAAA